CTGCTTTATCCACCTAAAGCTCATGAGACGCACATTGTCTTGTTTGCTTCTCAATGTATCGACTGAAAGCCCATCTTTTCGGGCCAAACCAGGTATGTCCCACCCCCTCTTTGAGGCCTCTATTAGCCCCTATAAAGAGCAGTTCAAGGATTTCTGGTCGACCCCCATTCCCTTCGCCGACCGCGAGTACGGTAAGAAGCCCAAACTTGGTGAACCTATCCCCACACGCAACGCCGCAACCGCCGTCGTGGTGGCGAAAAATAAGTACATCAAACCCGAGCTCATCGAAACCGGGGAGGATAATGACTATAAGATTCTCATGTTGTATCGTGAAAGTAAACAGCGTTTAGCAAAAGATCAGTTTGTCCTGCCTTCCCTTCCTGTGTCCATTGAGGATCGCAGCGAAGACTGGCAGAAGATTTTACGGCGGCGAGGCGTGACTTCGCAGTGGCAGGATTTGGAGCATCGCCTTACGGCGATGAGGGCGTTATTCTCCTTTACGAACCTGTTGGTAATCCCAAAAGAAGGGGGTGGCCTAGCAGAGGTGGAAGGCCCCCCAGGCCCTGGTAAATGGCATCTTATAGTCCATTCTAGGCCCAAAGCGATGAAGAATCTGATAGATATCCTGGAATTGCCGATGGAGACGTCCCTTTCACAGTTCCTTCCGTTTCGGAAAATTGTCACGCCCACTTCGGAGACCTTTCGGTTTGATAACTTAGTCTACTTAATCCCGTTTGAAAAAATCCCCGACGTCCGGTACACCATCACCACTGAGGGCGAGAAGCTGGCGTGGGTCTCCCCGATGGAGGGGATGGCCCGCTTTAACGCCGGGATTATGGATATGCCGACCCCTAACATCGTTATCATGTCCGAGCTCGCGAACGAGTGCCCGACCTTTGAGGAGGTCCTCAAGCGGACAAACCAGGGAACACCGCGTTCGGTGCTGCCTGAGGTTTACCACCACGGCCAAACCCGGGTCGCGACGGTGCTCCTCCCGGGCGACCTCTTCCACGCCGAAACAACGGACGAGGACCGCCGCGCGAAGTATGTGCGCCGCTTTGAGTACGAAAAAGACTACCCTTACGGCGTGAGGGCGATCTTTTCGGAGCGCCCGGCGAGCCCGGAAGAGATCACCGAGCCGCTGGTGAAGGAAACCCCCGTTCTGTTGGAAGAAGCGAATGAGAACGATATGGCCTACGCGGATGTGCCCTACCCCGTTCGCAGGAAAGAGAGGCTGCGCAATGGAGAAACCCGCTACCCTGTACCACAGTACGTATTAAAAGATGGGAAGATGGACAAAGATGGGTTTATCCCCTCCAATAATGATTACATGAACTTGCCAACAGATGACATGTACGCCAAGATGAAATAGTGAGGGATGGGGTAGAAACACCTTGAGTGATTTATCGAAATGAAGATGTTTCACATTCTTTGTTTGTTTATCAATGAGGTTGAATTTCTTTTTTTTTTTACTAACGGCTTAGTGTTGTATTATTTATCAAAGTGGCAATACTCTGGTATTGATTTATAAGTAAAAATACTTTGTATCTGTTTCCCATTGCTTTAGCGATTTCCTCATGATGTATTACTTCTCTTTGAGAAGGAAAAACGGGAGCGCCGAACTTTTCAAAATCACACTCATTTTTTTTTTACATAATTGGGGCTATATGAGCAAAGGGATGCTAAGCCGACTAATATGGCCTCATTTATTAAAGTCCTTAGGCCAGGTGTATATAATATAGCCGTTCGAGCCAAACCAGGTTCTAAGGTCACAAGCTTCGCCTCAGTTGCTAATTCTTCCGATGAGGCTCTTGAAGTTTACCTGGCGGCCCCTCCGGTGGAAGGTCAGGCAAACAAAGAACTAGTGGACTTTATGCAATCAATCTTGAAAACTGGCCTGCGGGAGCTTCGGTATCCTATCCTGTCTCCAGAAAATTTTTTATCCCCTACTTCACATACATTAAATTCTACTTTCACAAATGCTCCTGTGATGAATAATATTATTGCAAAGGACCGAACTTCTAGTTCCTCAAAGAAAACAAAAGGAAAAGGGAATAACAAACCCAAATGTTCGAGTAAAATAAGTGACTCAAATGACAAAAAAGAAGCCACTTCTGCAACTGAAAAAGCGTCTTTACTGCCAAATCGTGTGGCAGTTCGTCTTGCACGCGGCACCACATCTCGATCTAAGCTATTGGAAGTGGAATTCCCTGGTTCAGAATGGGAATTAGTTTGTCTACTTGAAAAGGCCTCTGGATAGTAAAATGTGTGAGGAAGTGAAGTCGTTTTAGAGTGAAAAAAACTGAATGGATGATATCATTGTAAAAATATCAAAATTCTTATTCACTTGAATTGAGTATTGTAATATTAAAATATTTTTACCGAACTATAGATTGTGACTACTGTATAAATTTTGTAAATTCGAAATCCTCTGTATTACCTGTGTTCCTCTACCCTACTTTTCTTTCATTTATTTTGGTCTTTTCAGGAGCTCTTAATTTGCAGCTTGCGCTTGAAATTCGACTCTATTGCATTTTTTTAAGTTCCTTTCCTTCATAGTAAACACTCTGTTTCCGTACACAATTAGTTCGTAACATACAGCAATAAAGTGTATGATTTGCGGAAATAAATGTAGGCATTGACAAGAACTTCCAACGTAAATAACAAGAGGAAGTGGCTTCAGAAAATGAATTATCACAAATTCTATTATGTAACCTACAAAAAAGGTAACTCTAGAGGCAGTTCTCCACGGAGCCTGGTGGCCTCCCCAACGACGACTTCGGATTCGTCTCTACCTCCATCATATTTAGGTCGCTATCCGATACGTGTAACTCCATCGGCGCTTCCATCGCTTCTATACACCTTTTTATACGTCATTGAATTTCACGCACCAGTAGCTCCGCACCCGGCCCCTCTTCAGCGCTCGCTGCGCATCAGACAGAATCCCTCCAGTGCTCCGAATTCTAGTCTTGCCGCTGCCTTGCCAGCAGCCACCGCAGTTTTCTCTGCCGTCTTGAGTTTCTTTGGCAAAACCACTAGCGCAGGGAACACCATGAATAATATAAATATGGACAACACCAGAGAAACTTGTGGGTTTCCCGATATTCCACATACCCTTAACGCGTCCCAAGAAGAGGAACTGGCAGCCCTGCGGCGGGTTCACGAGCAGCCCTTCGTGGTGCCTGTGACTCAGCTGATTCACAAACTTGGGGATACCCAAATAGTCGTATGCGAAACTCACAACCCCACAATCGCCCCCGCGTATGAGCGAGCTTTGAAGGAGATCAATGCTATTGTCGAACAATCACGCCGTGAGCAGTCGGAGAGGCGCATGCGGATTCAAAGTCAACGAAACAGCGTCTTTTCTTCCCCCAACAGTTCTAGTAGCAAACGAATCAGCTTTGGGACTAGTTTTACCACAATGCCCGCGGCAACTACGACAAAGGATCTTAACAGTAGACCAACAGCTTGTGAACCTGTCTTTCCAGGAGCCGCTGAGGTCCACGAGCGAAATCACTCCATCCCTTTTCCCCCACGAGGAAGCCCAGAGTGTAATCAATCCGGCTCCGATGTGTTTGGTTCCCTCGCTACCGCGCCGCAGCGGGTGTTATCCTCATTGCACTGCACTCGCTCCGGTGGGGGGGAAAAGGCCATACCGGCTATCCCCCAGGCCTTTTGGCTCCAACCAGGTGAGGTCGGGCTGGAGATCTCCATCCGCCTCTCGGTCAACGAGGTCCGCTGGCACGTCCCACAGACACGACCACTGGCAGAGTGGACCTTTCTGGTGATCCAAACCAGCGACGAGAATACCGTCCTTCAGATGGCAAAAGGTACCACATTAGAGGACAACGATGGAATGGACGAGGCAGGGGGACAACGGGTCGTGTCGAGCGGCGGAAATCTCATGTTTATTAATGATCCTTCACAAGTCGAGGATGTTATTCATTTTATATCCAAAACGTTCTATGAGACGATTAGTATGGAAACATTCTCTGACTTCACTTCGGGTGAATTAGTATTTGATGTTCAAACACAGAAATGTCATTCTTTTATTTGAAATCCATTTTATGAAAGTAATAGACCGATGTATATGAATTATTGCGTGTATTCATTATATATGCATACACCTCATACTGAGTTCTAGCACTTCTTTTGCATTATCTTTTATCCTATACTCGTGATTAACTGCAGATTTTTTTCCATTTTTATTAATGCTTGACAATCTTCAGTGGGAGGGAAAAATAAATTATATAAATATATATATATATATGACCAAATAAGGTTGATACCATTACACAACCCTTTCAAAAATGGAACCACTTAATATTTACGCATCTATATTACCATTGTTCGATTTGTGTTTAAGGTCCTTAATCGATTATTTAGATATCAGCTATCCCTTTTGTTCTAATGATACCGAAATTTTTTGGTAAAAATAAAAAAGGAAAAGTTTGCTGAAATTTCTTAAAAATCATCCTTCTTTTCTCAGAAAATAATTTGTCATGCTTATGGATGTAAATTACGTCTGTTTTAACTAGCAATGATGATATTCTTTCGCATTGATGCTATCATCAAATTCAAGGTGTTTTAGTATGCTTTTTTCAAAAATTTCACTCAGACTGACTACACATTATCAAGTGAAGGCAGTTAAATGAATTGTAATGGGAAGTAGATTCTGATAAAACTAACTGTTTTAGTGAAAGTTGTTCATATTTTGTGTTTTAACAATGACGAGAAAATATACACGCATAGAAATTTTTTTTATTCTATGCAGTATAAACATGCCCGATTTGATGTGTTGTCAGTTTCGATTAAAAAAAAGACATTTTAATAGAATATTAATTAAAAAAAGACATCGAAATTTATACAACACATACTCATAATTTTATAAATATTTATCCAGTTACAATATGCTTAAAATGCCCGTGTAAATAATAATATTAGGTACAGAACATGGTAGATTTGACAATCTATCATTCTTTTCTAAGGGAGTCAGAAGCACGAAACAATGATCTCTAAGCATATGAATACCCCAAGGCAACAACGGCACCGTTTCAATTGGGGATAAGTAGCTTGTATGCGAATGCTAGAAAACTTAGATCTATGAATGATAAAAATCCTCAAAGGTATTATTTTCCATCCTGCTTCAAATATATCTCATATATTTTTCTGTTTATGGATTTTTATTGGTAATGAACAATCAATCAAGTGTGTATTTTCACATCCAAATGAATGAAGTTTTTTCTTACTATTATTCCTCCTCATTAATAGAACGTATTTGGTTCTTGGCTTGAAGCAGCGTTAAAACAGGGTTTATGAATAGAATTCTTATTTATCTTTAACTTCACTTCTTTCCTCAGGTAATTTTTTAGCTTGGGGTGAATCTTTTTTCCTCTGGTATTGTATCTTCACAAAGGCTTTGGTCATAATGAAGCCCTCTCAATCTTCGTTTCATTCAAGTATAAACGATATGCCTGCTTTAGATAATTCTCAAAAGGTTGTCGCTAGTCCTTTTGACACTGCTAAACAACCCAACCCTATTGTTGACCGCGGCTCACGCTCAACAGGAGAACAGTTCAACCTTGGTGATGGTCACGATGAGAACTTTGATACTTCCTCAACGAGTAGCCAAGTCAGCACATCTTTTTCTACCTCATCCTCAGAAGACACGTGGGATGGGGCACGAAGGAGTGCGCCAATCCCAGAAAAGATGTATCACCGGTCTTCTTTGGAACGACCTGAAAAGCTTTCCGAAGAACCGGACAGCAATGGAACAACGACGTTACTTCGTTTGGAGACAATGTGGAATACGGTGGGGGCAGAGCAGCCGAAGCACAATGTCGTGTTACACTTTGAACGTCAAGATGTAGTATCCCGATCCTCGTCGCCGGAGTATATTCAAGGATCTTCAGAGCGGCAGTCTCTCGTTGTGAACTCGCATTATACCTTGAAAAACGACAACACGAAGTTGATCAAGACAGACATGACACCACGATCAATTTTGCGTCAGTCTGGAAGTAATTGGTCGCAGAGAAAGACTCACCGCATTTCTTTTTCATCTATAGGAGATATTGTTGTGGAAAACAGAGATGACTGTGAGGAAGAGAGTGATTATGACTTTAATGAGCCTTCTATAGCCCACGGTGTTTCAGATACTAATCAAACATATAACCAGTCCTCGATTGCGTATGCTGTTCCATACCCTAATGTTGACCATCGAGAAGGTTTGCAAATACAGCTACAGGATAAATCCATATTTCAGCCCCACGAATATCAATCTGTAGAGCAACGCGGAATTTCAAATAATGAAGCCGATGTCGACAGACAGCCTAGCATAGCGCCGTTCGGTACTACTACCACTACCAAAGAACCCTTGGCTAAAGAGCCATCAAAGTCACGACTTTACTCTCACTGGTCCGATGGGTGCGATCCACCATTAAAGTCAGTGATGCATAGTAAGTATCGTGAGACCATCACACCAGATGAAAATTCATTCACTGAAAGATTGCCATCAACACACGAAGCACTCCATGTTCAGAAGCAACATGAAATAGACTTAAACCAGTCACGTTTGTGTCACTCAAAAGCTTCACTGGACTCCCAAAATTACCCTAGTAGTCTTGGAAATCCATTACAATCAGAAACCACTTTGGTAGTGGGAAAGAACATTGACTTGGTTGATAACGAATCAATCCATTCATATAGCAGTAGTACCGTGAACAATAGCCCTAAATTAAACGCTGGACCAAAGATTCATAGCGATACCTCTTCTGACCAACGTATTAATTCACAAGAAGCGGTGTCACCTAGCCATCGTGCGCACCCCGAATATCTACAAATGAATACCAGCAACAATGCTAATTTAATTCACTTACAAACCGATAACACGGGGCGTGATATCATGCAGAACACGAATAAATCGTATTCAACTGAAGTGAAAACGGCTAAGGGGGTGGGAAGACAATCAGACTTAGTTAGTGTTGAATCTAAAATATCCCCTAAATCTAAGGACCAGACCCCTGCGAAGGTGCAACACGATCACCAGAGTGTACCAGCATCAACTTCACAAGAGACAGATAATAACTATAGTGAGCCTAATGTGCTGGATAAAAATGAAAAGGCTTCTTCCGCAAATGGAGTGTTAGACACAAAATCATCCACACATCGCTCGCAATCACTACCGAAAGATTTGCATGTCCTCAGCAACGAAAGGAAAGATAAAACAAAAACACCTCTTGTAGGTTCGGAACCTAAGCCTGACAAATCGGTTTTCACGCGTTCCAAACCTCTAGAATATAAATACCGCTATACCAAGGGTCACTCAGCTGATGACACACGTCGTTCTGAAAGTTCTGCATCGAATACGTTTTCCACTGATCCTATAAAAATCGGAGTGGCCGCCGCACATCGTAACTCTGCTGAAAATATAAGATCAACCATCCCGTTAATACATCAGGCGCCCCATAGTGACTCCTATCGGGCATTGACGCATCCCCAAGAGGAAAACATGCAACCTACGAACGAAGTCTCCAATAAACTTCGCGCAAAGAATAACTCTTTTAGCCCTGATCCAGTCTCCGAGGTTCGTGTTTTGCATGACGCTCCAAAGGGGGAAACCGACGTGAAGGCACCTAGCACTGTCATTTCGAACCTTCAGGAAGGGAATCCTACCGAGACCAATGCTGCCGTAACCCCATGGAACGACACCGAAGATAGCGATCTTAACCTGTCCGTGCATCCCACCACCACTGTGGAATCGTTACCAAACCCAACGCCTCATGACGACCTTTTGGAAGCGAAGAAAGGGAATCGAAAGAATCTCATTTTGGTAACGCGCCGAAAGCGGAAAAGCTCTAGCGGGCCTGACAGTGGTTCTATTGTAAAAATGAGTATTATTCCAGGACGACAAGACGGGGGCAGGCATGAGCAGGATCTTGCGAATACATTGAGGAATCTATCAGATAGCTTCACAACCCTCTCCATCTTGAAGTCTAACAGCGATCAGTCTGAGCATCTACCAAGTAGCAGAATAAAATACAAAAGGAAGAAACGAAATGATCGCGAAAATGTAAAAATAATGAATCAGGGAGAAAAATATTTCAGGACTGAGTCATTAGGAACTTCTTTGGGGTCTTCTAGCAAACATTCCTTCATCGCACCTTCTCGAACAAGCGAACATGGGTCCTCCAGACGCGAAGAAACGAAACGTGATACCGAAGTAACAACAAAAGAAAGAAACTCTTTAAATCAGACACAAAGACGATCCCTAGAACGAAGGAAATCAGACCTCGCAAAAGGCGACGAAAAAACTCACACACAAGGGCTGAACTCATCACCAGCAATTGATCCCTCATTTTCCCATAATGCCAATTCTACGGATAGTCGAATCCCAAATGAACACGATCCTATCTCCATTATACAAGAGGGGTCAAACTCGACATATCATGAAAAACTAACATCCACTCTTCGAAGTAATTTCGACTACACTGAAGTGGTTCAAAAAGAGTCCAAGCGATCAATGGCTACGGCATTGCCTAAAAGCAGCACAACTGAAGCTCATTATAGTGCCACAGAACCGGATAAAACGGGGTCCAATACTCTAAGAAATCCGCACCTCGGTGCTCAGACATTGCCTAAAAATATGAAACCACTACAAGTCCCGGTGATAGAGTCATTTGAAAACTCTGAAAATGTCAGCACCAGTCGTGCCTTTCAAACCTCAGACGAAAGTACCGAGGAATGCCAAAATACAAATGCCGGTGAACATGACTGCATGTCTATTTTAATTCCCCAATCTGAAGCTCAACAAATGCATTTGCCTACTGAAAAAGTACCAGCCACTAATAAAACGGTACCTCCTGTGTCCACTAAAGTGCATACAGATCCTGATAAAATTGAAAAAAACGTGCAGTCGAAAATGGTGGGATATTTTAGAGACAAGAATTCTCGAACCTCCTCCCAAGGTGCTTTGAGTGATGCTTCCCCTCACCCTTCGATGCAAGAAAAAGCGGAAATGTATTATAAAGATGTACTTGAAAAAGGTTCTGCCACTTTTGACTCCGTTCAAAGTACGGATAGGATGCCTCGCTTGGACTCTAAGAACTCACTGATTCATGCATATGACCACGGTGACTTGGAGGGTTTTCCTATCCATTCATCCGATGGAGATAATATTCACATCATTCAGGACTGTAATTCGAATCAACACCAGCCCGTTCAAAACGCGTTAGACGATAGTAAAGGTAACCAACAAGAAGGCGAAAGGAATTCCGACAACAACACGACATCTTTTTCCTTAGAAGGCACTCCACGTGATCAGGCACAAAAAGAGAAGTGTAATAAAACGCATAGGACCGAAGGCGATCGATCTGGATTAGACCCCGTCTTTCCACTTACGAAGGAAACAAACTTTGAGAAAGGAAACATACCGAGTAGAACCTCCCAGAGTCCATCATTGCACCAAGATTCCAAATTATTCCAAGACAGCGACGTAGCCCGAGTTCTACACACCAATGAATTTTCACTCATTCAACAGCCCGCCGTTCCTGAAGCGGAGACATCCTCCGTCTTAGTGCGAGCCACCTCCAAGTGCAATTCCGATCAACACCACGGACATTATAAACACCGAGAAAGCGAAATGTTGAAAGGAAAACAGATAAAAAAGTGTCAATCTCGAAGTCCTAATCCGCATTACGCTCGGGATCATAGGAACAGTTTAGAAGAAATCAATAACCTGTTAAAGGATGACCCAACCACCTCTCTAGAGTACCAACTAGCCATTATAATGGAAAAAAAATATAGGAAGGAAAAAAGAAGGATCAAAAATGAGTATAAAAAGAAACAAAAAATGGAAAAGGGCATGGGAGTGGATTCTTTTCAAAACAAAGTAGAAGCTAGTGCCAAGGCGCTTAACATGCCTTCATCCGCTTTGTCTAAAACAGAAATCTATGCGCAGAAACACCGTTCCTATACGAATCCACGTTTTACCCCCTCTGAGGCAATTTTAGACGATTCGCGTATACACCAGAATATCCAACCCTACATTAACTCTCAGAGAACGCCGTATCAGTCCGCGCAAGCCATAGAGCGGCTTGACGAAGTCCCACAAAACCGGACGGATAATGGACGATATGGCTTAGAAGACCCAAAACGTGATTGGTTTGACCATTCTGAAAGACGATCCATGTTCTGGGACGACTACAAACGAGCTGCGTCCTTCAGTGAAAAATTCAGCGATGTTTCCAGTAGACCTTTTGAAAACCATACCAACTTTGGTGAGCGTTTCCAAGACTTAAACTTATCCAATCACTCATTGCGTTATTTTAAAGAGACGTCCAATCTTAATCGATGGGCGAAGGATGTCAAGGATGACTTGAATAACTCGTTTTCCCCATCACGCAGCGACTTTAATAAATCCACCAGTCGAGATTATAACCAATCAGCGGAATCTTTTGGACAGATTAAAAGGGATCCTTTTGCTGACATTGATCACAAAGGCAAGTCCAATATTAAATCTCTTTTTGTGAATCAAGAACTGGTAGAAACCCCACCAAGACATTATTGTACCAGTGTTACCTCTACTGGTGATGCGCATTGTGAAAAAAATAAAGACTTCGGAGACACTTCAAAAAGGCATGGGCCACTGGAACAAAATCGACCCCAGCCCTTCGTTCACAAAGTAGGAAAATGCAAGACTGATAGAAAACCATCAATCACTGAATACGTCATAAATGATCGCTGTGCCGCACGCAAATTTGTATACGCCATGAAGGATGTGATAGATGGGCTCAACTTATATAAACCTTTAGTCTAAGTTATTTATACACTGTAAATAAACAAAAATAGTTGTACTATTACTAGAGGGTATATAAATTACTGAATAATTTTGATTTATATCTCTCTTTTTCCTATAATTTGCATCTTGGGCAAATATATATATGTACACATACATTTATGTTGCATTCTTAGTTATTTGTTTGAAGCTTATATAAAATAGAATACTGGTAGTCCAAAGTATGCCCAGGAAAAAAGAAATGTGAAACCGATATCGGTATTTCTCTGCTGGCTTCTATTTGGATCTATTAGTTTTTTTGATTTTGCCATTGCATCTGTGTTAAATCTCTTTTAAAAATTAACCTATAATCCATTTTTGGTGAATTTTTATTAAACTTTTAATTCTTTTCATGTATTGTTCTCTATACATTTATTGTAGCACTCTCTAGGCTATACAAGAGAGAAAAAGGGTGTTTTACATAAGAATATATATTCTAATCTAGATTTTGAGAACTGAAGATTTGGTGTTTAAAATGTCTTCTGTTCCCTTTACGGAGGAAGACCTTCATGAGCTATATTTATGGGTCGATGGTATTCCTATATCCCGACCGAAACGCAACATCGCGCGCGATTTTGCCGATGGCTGTTGCTTAGCTGAAATTGTTAAATATTACTTTCCGAAACTTGTGGAACTGCACAACTACGCGCCGGCGATGTCGATCAACAAGAAACGCGATAATTGGCGTACCCTCAACACCCACGTCTTTCGCAAGCTGTACTTTGAAGTTCCCGATGAGGAGATCGAGGATATAATAGCCGCGGTCCCAGGTGCCATTGAGCGTTTTTTGCGCGCCCTTCGCATCAAAATTACCCAAATCAAAGCCCAACGAGACGAACTTCAGGCCCACCCCTTCCCACCGCAGCCGATGCGGTGCGCAGCCTACGCCACCCCCCCAACCGCAGATAGCCTACGGTCACGGAAGGGGACGATATCTAAAACAAGTTGCGGTGTAAAACCAATCGTGCCGAACACAGGCATTGAAGTAAAGGAGTATGATAACGGACGGCGAAAGAATGGCGTAGCGAACGCGGCCGATCATAGCGCCGCACCCAGTGATAACTTGCGGCGTCTTTTGGACGAAAAAGATCGAACCATTTTAGAGTTGCGGGAGACGGTTGGTATTCTTAGTGAAAAAATTATGAAGCTTGAGGAGCTGCTCCGGGTCAAGGATGACAAAATGACCCAATACCGCACAAAATTTGGTCGCATATGATGGCCTCAGATGAATTAATGCTGTGTAATAGCTTTTTTAAACCAAATATTTCTGCTACTAACTCCACTGAGACCTCAAAGTTCGACAAAAAAACTGACGGATGGCCTGATTTTTCTGTCATAGCCAACGCATGGAAGTTAGTTGGTGAAGAGGAAGGTAAAACAATATGGGACAATAAGAGCTAAGATGATTAACAATCCATATATACATGCATTGATGAACTTATTTCTATTTTAATATTTCAATCTTATATCTGTAAAACTATTTTACACATTGTGTATTGAAGAGGGATGTATTGAAATATCATATTTTTTTTTCAGGATAGATATCTGTATCTGTGATGCCTTAAACAGCAAGTGTTGCGATCATCAGCAGTTTTTATTACATGTTTCTTACGCTTAGATGTTATTTTTCCTCTTTGCTGTCAACATTGTTACCCTATACACACAAAAAAAAAGTAGAACATAAAATATAGAAAAAGGTCATATGTGGCCTGTGCATTATATACGTGTAAGAATGTAATAAATCCATATGGCTTCAAAAAAATTATCCTTAATCGGACAATGTGAAAATAATCAAAAATATGTATTTTTTCCCTTCATTTTTTATTATTGTTTAATTTTAACAATAAAACAAGACCAACATTAGGGCATCAGAAAGAACTTCTCGTTTGGGGAATCGCCTGAACCGCTTTATGCGTTCAATATCCACGCTCAGCGCATTAAAAGTTGACCAAATATGAGTGCCCGCATGCAATTTCCGCTCTCTCAGCGACGCCACACGAACGTGGCGGTGGTGCGCTACACACAAAAAGGAGTGCGATTAGAAATAGCATGTTATAAAAACAAGGTCGTCTCCTATCGTAGTGGGACTGAAGACCGATTAGATGAGGTACTGCAGGTGGATCGCATATTCTCCAACGTTGCGCGAGGCCATGTGGCCTCTGAAAAGGATATCCAAACTGTTTTTGGCCCCAACCTGTCGAATAAAGAGGCCATCAAGTATATGTTGATTCACGGGGAGCTGCAGGTCGCCCAGCATGAGCGCACAGCCGAGGTGGACGAAATGTTCAAGGACATTGCACTCATTATATCTCAGAAATGCCTTAATTCCAACACGCAAAGGCCCTTTCCGTGCTTTGTGATTGAGCAGGCCCTGAAGGAAATTGGGGTGGGGGTGAAGCTGGATCAACCGGTCAAGAAACAGGCGCTTTCTCTCATCCACCAGCTCGTCGAGTCTCAGATTATCCCTATTAGCCGCGCGAACATGAAGCTGCGCTGCTCCACAAAAACCGCCGCGGCGATGGAAAAGTTGAGGGCCTGGTGTGATGCCCATAACGCGCAGATCGTGGAGGAAGTTGTGAAACCGGCCCCTGCCGAGATGGAATCCTCCACCGATGAAAACGCGAGCGGGGAAATTTACTCCGCGCTGGTTCTAATACAGCCTAACTTCTATGGTGCCATTGAGGGCTTCATCAAGAGGGAACTTCCAACGGGAAGTACCGTCCACGTTGTGGAAGCCTCTGTGATCGTCGCCGGCGAATGTGATGGGGCGAATTTTATGGCCGCCAGCAAGGCTCTATCCTCTGCCGTCTCAACGGCGTGCTCAGGGATCGAGGTGAATTCCAGGCCACATGGGAACTACCAAAGCTCCAAGAGTTTTGACGACGCCTCAAATGACTTTCAAAAAGCTGACAAAGACACGGGAGCGAAACTTAAACATGGAAAAGGTAATAAAGGTACCAAGATGAAACATGGGAAAAATGTCGCCCCCGATGAAAAACTTGAAGCGAACTTCCACAAGGACAAAATGACAAGGATCCTTATCAAACCAGACGCTAACGAGCATGATAAGATGGTGGGGGATCTACAAATGAAAACGAGCTGTGGCGTAAACTCAAGCACTGGCGAAAATGAAGAGGGTGATAAGATTGTACACGATGAAGAACATGCCAAGAATTTTGGAACTGTGAGAGATGAGTTAGTGGTGCAGCTGCAGCAGTTGGGTCTAGATCCTGTAGTGGATTTGACTGCCAATGATAAAGAAGATAACAGGCGAAACAAAGGAAAGAAGAACCCCAATAAACGAAAGACTAATAAGAATGACAGTAACACAAATAGTAAAAAAAATTCTAGCATGCCAATACAAGAAGAAAACATCGATAGCGACGAAGAGTTGGAAGGCAATCGAAAGCAGCGCAAGAAGAACACGCAAAAAAAGAGTGACAACGGCATGGAAAACGATTTTGATGAAGAAAATTTTGACTATTGGGAAGAAATTTAAAGAATCTAAAAAAAAAAGTTAGATGAAAATACGAATCGCATAGTTTAACAATATTAAAATCAAATAAATGATTGCGTGTAAAATCAATAATTCAAATTGGTGGACTAAAAGACGGAATGACACTAAAAAACAACAACTAACGAAATGTTTCTGCTGGTTTGCTTTATACCAAGCGACACCTCCTCTTCCTCCTCCTCCTCCTCCTTTTTTTCATAGGGAAAACCACCAACTCTAATTTTCCTGCATGTCCTGTAGTAAAAACGCACAGAATATTAATCTGACTACCTGTCTTCCCGAAAATCGCTTTTCACGGGAAATGAATGCAACATGGTCATCGTTTTCGTTGCGATGGAAAGCTCAGAGGTGGAGAAGGGGTTGTTTTTCCCTTAGTAGGCTCGTTCCCGCTGAGTCTCAGGATCCAAAAACCAGCCAAGACAGCGTTTTTATCCCTCAGTCAGGCAGCTCGCGAAATGAGACTCAGGGAGTGGAAACCCTTAGCTCGGAGAAAGAAGAGGAGACTTACCAAACAAAAAATTCAGAACTCACCCCTAAAATAATCGACTTAGATCTATGGAATCGGTACTGGAAAGCGTATTCGGACCAATACGGCGACCTGCTGGACGGCCTCGCGATGCTGCTTGACAAGACTGACGCGGCCCCTGTCTCCTGGTGCGCTGTCTTCCTCGCGCTAAAACGAACCACCCCTTGTTCTACGCACCACCCTGAGAGCAAGGATGACGAAGTCCTGGAATACATCCAGAAAAATTTCGGGAAATGGGTTCATGCCGCATCGCATCGCTTCGGTGCAATCGAATCGATGGATTACAATCAGTGGATCGTCAAGATACAGTTTACTGGGCCTGAGGCCGCGGCTGCATTTCAACTCTGGGCCTCGGACCTTTCATTAGAGACATTTTTACGAACTAGGCCGGATGGGGAATCACTACCACCTAAATATGAAACGCCCTCATCAAAGACACTTCTTTCGGAGTTCCATCTGCAGGCTTGCTTGGCCCCTCGTAACGCCACGAAAACGAGCGCCTTTCTAAAACTTGGTTATGGGATGCTTTTACCTACTGCGCATGTTCAAGCGCTCTTGATAGGACTTTTTGATGCCACGAAAATCATATACAAACCCCAGGATAGTTCTTTTGTGATTTCCTTTAAAGATTTTCGCAGTGCTAGACTTGCCATTCATGCATTACAGTTCTCCCTACTGGAGGTATTTAACATGTCTCTAGAGTTTTGTGAGGAGGGTGTAATCGTCTGAAAAAAAAGAGGCATAATGTTAAATGGCTGTTTATAATTGTAGTCTTTTAGTTGGACTTAGCTTTCTGATGCTCTAATAAGTGACTTCAGGAACGAGTTAAAGGTAATTATAGTAGTGTAACATGTTTCAGACAATTATTTAAATAAGGAAGAGCATTGTGAGTCGAGGTGTTCCTTCTTCCTCAAAATAATAACGAACCAACCCCTTTCAAACCACCACAAACAGAAGTTTACGTTTTTCCCTTTTTTTGTTCGGGTGTTGATTATCACAAAATTTAATATACTTTCGTCAGAGGTGTTCTCGAATTAAATTAGTCCTTATACTTGATGTTATTGATACGAATACATATGTCCCCACACGTGTGTAGCTATTTACTCTGTATAGAATAAATTTATTAAGATCTTTTTTATTAGATAGTTAATTTGATCACCTACGTATATATAATTACTAATGTCAATACACAATTTCAAGCTTTCAAAGACAATCCATCGTGTGATTCTTATCGGCAGTCTCAACGATTACGGAGCTGTGTGTGCGGCGTGCCTAGCCTTATCACCTTTTCTTCAAACACAAAAGGTTGTTATTACGCAACACGTCACTTTTGCCGGTGATGGTAACGCTAAACCCACATCCCAAACGCCTCCAGATTCGCCAAGCGTCTCCTGGGGAAGTGAAGAAACTAACCAACACCAAAAAAAGGGTGCACATGAGGCCGCGGCCGCTTTGGACGCCATCCGAGAAGAAGCTTTGCGGACCTACCGCAATGGGGGCTCTGAGATGGATGTTCCGTATCAGTACTATTACGGTCGGATAGGCCCCAAAAAGGACGAGATACCTGCACTATTGGAACACATTTCTCTCCATGCTGACGGGCCTCTCCCCATCAATCTTCAGCACGATTTACTTGTCTGTGTGTTGAGAGGGATCTTAAAGGATGATTCCATTCCTAACCCGAGAGCCATACCTGAAATAGAAAGGCTGTGCAATCTTTCAGGCAACACCTTTTCTGGGCATTTACTACTCATCGTGGACAGTGATCCTTATTCGGTTGAACTTTTGAATCGTTTCATAGAATTTATTCAAAAAACTTCAAAGGTGGCTCATGCTTCACGCCTTCCAAACTTGATTGTCGTGCGCACTGAAGATTTCAGTCCACCAGCGCTGCATTTTATGCTTACAAAGTGCAGTGTTATGAGGCCAAGCGGTATTCTGGGCATGATAGAAAGCGTGAGTGCCGGTATTGCGTTGGGTGTTCTCACCTATCTTCCCGTGTTTCGGCGCGACGATGTGCCTTTTGTCCCAATAGATGTCGCTATAAACACTGGACTCCTCGCCTTTACAGCAATCCAAAACAATTTCATTCAGCCATCCCTCCCTATTGGTGCGAGCATAGTAGGTACCGCGGATACAAGGGTAGTCCGCGTGGATGTCAATAACCGCAATTCGTTAGTCTGGGGCATGGTAGCTGAGTATATCTTAGACTACTACGGCCGTTACGTTAAGAAGATCTCAACGGTGTTTCCAGCGGAAGGCTTCCTCAGTAATTCCCCCAAGATTCAATTTTTGTTCAGCACACAGGACGTTATGAATTGGGGTCCTGAGGCAATCGACTATTCACGATGTAGGGAACAGAGTAAAGCACAGAGCCGCCGAAGAAGACTTTTTGAAACTTTTCCTGATAAAAAAAAGATTTCGAATTTCTTTCTGCATTTAGACAAAATCATACAAAATGTCGAGGCGGTCTTGAAGCATCACAATAGGGTAACTAAAAAAGGAGAAAAAAGTTTGTTGAGATTAGTTTCCTTCGGAAAGGGACATATCAATGGGAAAGATGAAAAAATAGGTGGGAACGATCTGAACGGCACCGTCACCCCTCACATCTCATGTGCAGATAGTAGTGCTATTTTCGGGTCTATTGCGTATCAGGATCTTATAGAACTTCTTCAGACCACCCATCACACAGCTCCCCAATCCCAGTACGTTTCCTTGAACGAAGTGGAATGGAGCATGTACATCCGCTGTATCGCTCGTAGCGTCCTACAGCATTTTGCCTTGTGTTGGTTACGCGTGGGACAAGTGTATCAGTCGACCCCCCAGCTAATGCGACTTCCAAAACCTGTCCACTCCTTTGTTAACGACTTTAATTATGTATCTGAAGCGCGAGAACCGCCATTTCCGTCTAAATGGCGTCAGTTCTTGGGGCCTGTTGACCATAGCATACGTGCGGGTATGTGTGCGACAGGTTGCCGCGGGCCGATGGTGAAGGGTCTGACCCTACAAGTACTTTCAACCATTCTCGAAAATCCATCCATCCAGAAGGAAATATCCAACACCGCAATATCTGAAGCGCAATCTGTGGAGAAAATCAAGGAGCGCGCTGAACGCATGATCCTACGCATAGGTGATACTCAAAACCATTTCTACTGTCGTTCTATAGGGTTTTTGGTCCAGAAGTTCCTAAACACTGTATACTGCGGCGTCAGCTGCAATGATGGCACGTACGAGCGCCTCTTTCGTTGGAGCCGAATGCCCTGTGTTGAGCTCGTTTACATCCCACTGCATCGTTCGTATTCTGATTTCCTCCTTGTGTCGGATATTCTTGCGTCTATGGGTCTATCCCCACCGCATGTGGTAACCGGTGAAGACTTTCTTGGATTAGGCAAGTTTTCGGAGCTAATGCGCGGGAGTGGATCCTTTTTCATGCGACGCAATTTCCGAGGAGACACGCTGTATACTGCACTGTTTAGGAAGTACGTTCATCAACTGATGATACGCCATCTGCCGATTGAGTTTTTTATTGAAGCCATGCGTAGCCGTACTGGGAAAACAAAAACGCCAAAATTGGGAATGCTAAAGTTCATTATGGAGGTGTTCTTCAACTTGACGCAAAAGGAACGACTGCATGATGTTCTTTTTGTGCCGATAAGCATTTCTTATGATGAAGTGTTGGAAGCTAAGATTTTTGCGGAGGAGCTTCTGGGTATCCCAAAACCTAAGGAAACCCTCAGTAACATGGTCAAGGCCTTCAAAAACCTCAACCATCGTTATGGCAACATTTACATGCATTTTGGCGATGCTATTTCGCTTAGGGAATTCATAGAAACCTGGGATTGTTGCCAGCCCCTTCCAAAGTCCGGAAATAAACCTATCTCGAGCACGCCTCAAAATGGCAGTTCCGATGCGAACCCCTCAGGCTCTCCCACTCTATTCGCTAAAAATGCAATGCCCGAGAAGGAGTACAAGCCTCCAGCTGCACTACTAGAGGCCCTGGGCTGGCACATCACGCACAGACTCCAGGAGAATATCGTCATCACCCCTGCGGCGGTAGTGGCCTCTGCCGTCGAATGTACTCTACCCGTTTGTGAGGCCGAAGGTACCAGCCTATCACTTACGCGCCTCCATACAACGATTGTGATGTTAATTCAGGCAGTTAAACAAAGAGGTGGGAATATGAGTTCCATATTCTATACGCTCCCAAGTACTGAAGACGCTAATAGCTCGACGGATAGGACGAATTTTGTTCGTTCGCTCGCTTCTACGCCTGATATCGCGCGGGTTATGCAGCAGGGCGTGGAGAACCTTGGTCAATTCCTTCGTGTGCAGTCCAGTAATGTGGGGGTCGGCGAGGTAATGTACCATCCACCAACCGCAACATCCCGTCTTGCCGTTCATATATCAGCCAATCAATTGGTTCATGTATTTATCGACGAGGCTGTTGTAGCCGTTGTGGCTCACGGCTACGGTACATTGACCTCCTCCTCCTCCTCCACTGGAAACACTGCATGTGTGGTGAACCAAACCGTTCTAAAGAGCATAACCCGACTGCTTCGCCAACTTCTCTCAAAGGAATTCCCAGACTTCTCGCAGAGTTGTCCCGATAGCTTTGACGCCTGGATGCAGCATACACTAGCACGTTTTCACTTGGATGATTCAAAGTGGAATGGGTCAGACGATGAATACTGCGTCAAAGGCAACGAAGCTCATGGAAAGGATGATCTCATCTCTTTACCCATCACCCCGCTCAACGATTTTTTGCTGCAGCTTATCTTCCCGTACATGGATATCTTGTATTTGGTCTGTGTAGCGACACTTGTGCTGCTCGAAATGTTTCCCGAGCAACCACTTTACACAAAACCAATGATTACTGCCATCTTCAAGACCGCTTTAAGTCTGTTCGAAGAGCAAAATATCATTAGGTACGTAACAATATGCAATAACGATACAGTCAACAATTGCCTTGATTCCCTTTTGAAGCTTCCTCTAATGCATAATCTCTCAAAATTCACGCTGTTGGAGAGGAAGCAGAGGAAGCATGCTCCAAAATTGCCATCCCTTGATGACAAGAACGTGTCTTCCTCAATGAAAGATCTCATTAAGAAGCTGCATGCTCTTCGGTTGCCCCAATCCATGGATCCTAATGAAGAGATGCATACTGTTAAAAGAACCCTGTTACGTTGTTACGCGGATGTGAGCGAAGGAGCAAAGTTGTAGTTTTAAATGGGAATCATTTTCAAAAATCATTGTTGTAATTTGAGAAAGTTTTGGAGTTATTTATAAATTTGGTCTTTAAGACCTACATCTGTACTTTCTCTATTTATTTATTTACTTATCTATCTATCTATCTATATATATATATATACTAATATAGAATAATATATATATATTATCGAAATGGACTCTATTACACAGAGACTTACTATTTTCAGCAATGAGAGAAAGATATGCGTATCCTACGTACACTCAGGTTGATAACACTAAATATCGCCCTCCCCTTTCCCATATTCATACATACACATAAATACGTGTTTATTGGTTAAAACTCTAGTTGTGTCTTTTGTGAGGCTTCTGTAATTTAGTGCTTCCGAAAAGCCACAATAGATGTAAGTTATTTCATCTACTTATTCGTCCAACATTCCGATTCATAGTGTGGCTCACACTTCGTGTGGGAAAAATATCAGGTATAGAAATATCTACAGTATAACCACATTACCAAGCACTTCTGTCAAAAGGATTCCGCTTTCGTTGATCTGTAAACGAATCCAAACATAAAAAATTCATAGACAACTGTATCACGAAGTGGTGGAGCCTTCGGTGAAGGGTAATAATCAAAAACATAGTGCTAATAATACTAACTATCATTCAATATGAAAAAACTTCAAAGGAACGTCCAAATGCTATGGCAAATTTTAAAAAGAACAATAGTAGATGGCGTGCGATTTAGTCGAACTGCTCTGCGTTCCCTTTACCTTCCAGATGAAACGAGCCTCTACACGGACACTTTTATTCGCCTTATCTTTGGCATGTACTATATCTCTGCTATTGTCATGACGCTCGCGATGACGCACAACGCACTACAGCAAGTAGTGTGGAGCTTAGTGTTCCCGGTTACTCAGGAAATGGAAAAATACAGTTATAACTTTTCATCTACATGGACACTGATGTTAGGTTTATGCGATATTTTTCGCAGAGTCGCACCTTTTACGGCGCTAGGCATTTCCATCGCTACGGTTGGGCACAAAATGATCAACTGTATCGCCGAGGCCATGCTTGATTCGTATACAAAACACCAGGGTATAGACTACCCCCTCACGCGTGCTAGTCTTCAGTTTGTGTTAAAGAAGCCAGCCCGTTTAGCAGCTCTCCTGGGTGTCATGCCGGCTTTTTCTTGCTTGATTATTTTTATTTTTTATACCAGCATAATTGAGTTTCTCGTGCGAAAAGAGACTGAAGTCGTTATCGCTACTTTTGTTGTTGGAATCGTGCAGGTCATGTTCGTCGGTCTGACCTTGCCCCGTCGGACTCAACCGAGGTTGATTGATGCACAGAAACCACAGCAGACGCTTCCGTGCGCTAAAGAGGGTTGCTGCGCTTGCCAACTGGATGCCCCTGAAACATCCTCGCTGTTTAGGGGCAAACACGGTGGAAACGGTCACGTGTTTGACAAAAGCGAATTAAAAAGAGAAACCTTGAAGCAAAGAAGTAGTGAGGTGGCGACAGTAGGCCAAAGTAACCATAAGACGAACGGTCACTTGAGAGGTGCAGAGGGTAGCCAATACCAACCCCTCGGAAGAAAGACTGAGAATGGGGAAATTCAAAATGATAATTGCTTTGTAAACATGGAGGATGAATGGTGGACGGAGCACATCCGTATTATACGATACAACGCCTTCGTGCTTGTTATGTTTTTCTCAGTGACTGTTGGAATTTTGTACGGACCATTGCGAAGCCTGACCACCGCAGTGCTGATGATTATGTGTCTTAACTTTCCTCATCTCTTCGCCTACATGTCGCTGTCCTTCACCTCAGCAACGATTCGAACCCTGTGTTCCTATCGATGGCTGGTGCGCCACCCAGACGCCCACTTCCCCGTGCTCATAGTGATAATGCCCTATGGGATAATGCTTTTAAGCGGGCTTTTATATTTTCATAACCACATTTTTACATGCGTGATACTACTCGGGGTCAACGTCTTACTTGTGGCACGCGGTATTGACCTCGTACGCGAGTTCGAGATGACTGAAAACGGCTCGGTGCATTGGGTAGATATCTCCCTGCAAGATCGTGAAAAGCTACTTCAGCCGTCCTTGGCTATCCTCCTGGAGGACGCCTACGAAAGGGACGACAAGCAAATCGGAATTGTAAGCCTAGATATGTCTTTTGACATGGACAACATGCTGATCAAGTATTCAAATGGTACAGAAATTCAAATTTCGAGGAAGCAAATCATACCTAATGGTGCCGCACGACGTCTTACGCGCATTCGAGAGTTTTATTTCTACGTGCTGCCTCGTCTATTGTCGCTGCAAAGCCAATGCTACTTTGTCGGTTCGACCTTTCGCACAGCTCGTATTATCCTTCGGGCGGTGTACATTACAATTTTGATTTTGTTTGCTTTCATTGTGAGTGGTATGTTAGTGCAAGCGGCCTTTCCTGAGCTGCGCCCCATCCCCGTACGCGCCCGTGCATCCCATGGCGGCCGTCTTCTCACCTTTGATCACATTGTAGTTCACATGCACCTCCTATCTCGCTCTAACGTAACGTGTGAAACCGACGACGCAATGCGCGCTATGCATACGGCGAAACTCAGCAATTTCAAGTGGCTCAAACCCACCTCCAACGACAACGAAGACTTATACCCTTATTTGTGCACACGTGACTATTACGGAACCTCGGTGTGGGAATTGGCGCTGCTGGCACTTGCCCCCTATCTCTCGAGCACGGAGGAAATAGGTACCATGTTAAACTATATGAATACAAATATGGGCTCTGACTGGGTCGTCCAACCGCGCTACGGCACTGCATGTGTGCCGACAAATTCAAACCACAAGCCCACCGGCTGGACCGGTTTTTACGATTTTTATAGCATTTCTAGAAACATGTCAGTAATTGCGGTGCGTGGCACGGATCTCTTCTCTTTTACAGACTTCCTCATTGACATTGACCTTTTTTTTGAAACCGTGCTATACCAATTCATGACTATGGTTGTGCCTGGTTCGGTGGTCGTGCCGAAAGAACTTGTGGTCAACCTCATTCGTCTCGTCTCCCTTCAGGAAAAGCTTTGGAGCCCTATCGACACCCCCTCTCATGTTGAGCCAAGTAGTGAGGAGACGTGGGCGCATCTCTTGAACTCCACCAACAAGTCGCTTCGGGAGTGTAAATACAACAACTATCATCGTAATTTTTACGCTGATGTGTACAACCACCTCGTCTTTCGCGGCCTGCAACCCGATCACCCAAAGCATGTAGTATTGACCGGGCACTCACTCGGAGGGGCTGTCGCCGCCATTCTCGCTGCACAACTGGACATCAAGGCAGTTGCCTTCAGTGCACCCGGTATCCTCCTGGGTCGGAAAAAGTTCGACGTGAATTTGCGCCTGATTAACAAGAATGTTATGACCGTCATTTCCTCCGGCGACATTGTGCCGAAACTCGGTCAACACGGCGGCGAAGTACACCACGTTGAATGTCTCGCTTCAACAACAGAACTATGCCATGCCATGGAGTTTCTCATTGGCACACTCTGGCGTTCTTGTGCCTCGCTGCGTGCCAAGTACCCCCTAATTCAGAGGGTGGTTTAAAGAAGCGAAGCACGGTGTTCAGGGGAAAGAGTAGACTTCTGCGCCCAGGAGTAGAAGCTGTCGACCTTCCTTTCTTTTCAAAAATATATGTTAAAGACTTTAATCAACCGTCACACCTGTTGTTGCTTTGAATAAAACAGTTTTCCCGTCTGTTAGGCATCGTTTTATATATCGTATTAGAACGCACAAGTTTTTTTTGATTTGTTCTGAAAAATATCAGCATGAAACATGGTGATGTTACAGAGGCGGAAACCTCGATGACAGCTTCTACACTCTTTTTTCCGAAGCTTTTAAAAGGTAAAAAAAAAAATGCGACCGGTGAGGCTCGAACTCACGACCTTGGGATTATGAGACCCACGCGCTGCCGACTGCGCCACGCTCGCTGAGGCATCCGAGTAAATTGTGGTCGTTAGGAAGGATAATTAAAAGGTCAAAAATTGTGACGGAGGTGGGGTTCGAACCCACGCCTCGAAAGACCAGAGCCTAAATCTGGCGCCTTAGACCACTCGGCCACTCCGCCTTGTTGGCTCGTATATTTTGGTTTGTCTGTAATAAATTAATGAAACGACTAATATTTTTTGGCCCATGCGGTGTCAACATACCCAAGTGGTTACGGGGTTTGACTTGAAATCAAATGCGAACTCGCGCGCAGGTTCGAACCCTGCTGTTGACGATTTTTTACCAGAACATTGCATAGACTAAAACACGTTGGAGAGCTCCCACACATTGCTCTCATAGCTCAGTCGGTTAGAGCGTGGGTCTAATAAGCCCAAGGTCACAGGTTCGACCCCTGTTGGGAGCACTTTTTTCCGTTTCCATGCATCACTCGCAATTTC